AGGTTCTTGAAGCAGATGTTAGAGGAGCTAAACTTCCCTTCAAGGTTCATTAACTGGGTGATGGAATGTGTTTCTACAGTTAATTACTCTATAGTAATTTATGGGGAACCAACTAAGCCATTTGATGCTGCAAGAGGGCTTAGACAAGGGGATCCAATACCACCCTTTTGCTATAGTCACGGAATATTTAAGTAGAAGTCTTAGTGAATTGAAAGATGAGAAGCAATTCAAGTTCCATCCTAAGTGCTCTAAACTGACCATTACTCATTTGAGTTTTGCGGATGATCTTCTAATGTTTTCAAAAGGAGATACTACATCTGTGGGATTGCTACAAATGAAATTTGGCCACTTCACAGAAGCTTCAGGTTTGAAAGCTAATATGTCAAAGAGTGCAGTGTATTTTGGGGGAGTTGCTTAAGATACTTAAATAAGACATTCAACAATTGCTAGGATATGGACAAGGGGAGTTACCTTTCAGATACTTAGGGATTCCATTGGCTACAAGAAAGCTTAAGATACTGGAATGGCAACCATTAATATCAAAGGTCATTGCAAGAGTGACTTCATGGGTAGCAAAGAAGTTGTCATATACTGGTCGTGTACAATTGGTGAGAACTGTATTGTTTGGAGTTCAATCATATTGGGCACAACTATTTATAATACCTGCTAAAGTGATGAAAACCATTGAAGCTTACTGCAGAAATTACATTTGGACAGGATCAAATGAATTAACTAGAAAGGCACTGGTAGCTTGGAGTAGAATGTGTATTCCAAAGACAGCTGGAGGACTTAATCTCACAAATTTGAAGGTTTGGAATAAAGCAGCAATAGCTAAAACATGTTGGGAACTACACAGTAAGAAGGATACTCTTTGGATCAAGTGGATACATCCAGTTTACTAAACATGTCTGAGTCATTTCCATCATCCTCTTCCCTTGCAAAAATGAATAAATATGTCCCCTACTATATATAAAACCTTGTCCAAAAAATCTGATTACCTCTATGAAGTAGATATCCTACCCGACGAACAGAAAGTATCCTCTACTGAACTACCTCTCTTAAACCCTTACTCAGCTTTTGCCAAAAATCTTTTGCACCCTGGACCCAAATTCGTTCCTTAGTCCAACACAGACCAAAAGGAGTTAAAGAATATGTTGTTGCCTCAAAACTTGACCAGCATCCTATTCTTGCCACTCGAGAGGAACAATTTATCACCCTTCAAATACCAGATGATTTTCCCAGACAATGGAGAGATCATGGTTTTACCCATATTCATTTTGGTGCTATCCGAATTGCTTTAACATACCATGGAAGAAAAGGTCAACCTGTTGTAGCTCGACTTTCTCTTCTAGATACAAGATATTTGGAGTACCAACATGCAAATTTGGGTACTGCAGAAGTTACCTTAAATGTCGGGACAGTCTTCATAACTATCTTTCCAAATTTCAACATGTCCCTTATGACCCTTACCTAACCGAAGCCCTAAAAATCCAAGTCCAAATCCAAGGAGCCCCACAAGCAAAAGATTCCATCCAAGCTACTCTTCACCACCAAATAGCATGGCGAGTCCAAAATCATGCCATGGATCTCTGTCTTCCGGGAGGAGAAGATGCTTTACTCTTAAATATTGATGCTACCAAAGGAAACACCATGTGCACCCAAATACCCAGACAGATTTTCAGAGATGAGCTAGTCAAAATTCTTCCTGACTCCTATATCACAAATTATGAAAAGTTAAGGGAACCTGAATAATCTCTGCAATCTGGTGAACCAACTTTTACCAAAAGAAATGACAAAACCGTTTGCATAAGCTTTGACCATTCCCATCTCAAAAAACCCAATAAATCCATCTTCTCTTGCCAAATGATTCAACCTTAAGATACAACAGATACATACCCTGAATCTGACGGAGAATTCTTCTGGAATATACAAAGCATCATGGAAAAACATGATTGGTGCCAATATTTTGACAAAGAAGGAAAAAGAATGTGGTGGTTCAAATGTCCCTTCACTGGACACTGCCCATGGGATCTTGATTGCACCTGCCAAGACTGTTTAGAAGATTCAATCGGAGAATATGACGAACACCACAAGCGTCAAACAAAAGCCAAGAAAAAAGGGAAAACCACTGAAAAGCAATTTCGAGCCAAATATAAAAGTAAAGACCCTACAATTGGCTCATCAAGCCGTCCTGGTAAATATGAATTTCTTGTTAGTTATGAACCCCAAAAATGGCCAAAATTACCAAAAAAATTCACTCCAAGTTGGGAGGATAGTGAAACCACGCCCAAATCCAAACCAACATCACCACATACCCCGGAATCCAAAAAGCCACCTGAACCTAAAACTGTATCAATCCAAAGGTCCACACACCCACAAATATTCATGATGAGCCCTTCAAGTTCCAGCCACTCCCAAGATTTTCCTCCACTTCAACCTTTCGAAAAAGAGGGTATCAGTCATGCCCCAAAAATCCCCAAGAAAAATATAGTGCTACCATCTGGAGAAAAACCCCCAACGAGTGGCATTGAAGCAACAATGAACTGGCAATCAGAAAACTCCATCTGCCAAAACAAAATCCTGAACAACATTGGCAACACCATAAAGAACGTGGTTCATACACATAACAAAATGATGAGCAAAGTGGAAACAATTGAGAAGAAGATGGAGCAGACATCGTATCACCATGCCGGACTAATCAAAGCCTTGGAACTAAGGTTGGCAAATTTACAATATGAGATTTGTCCGCCAGGAACTTCACTTTTCCAATTTTTCCAACAACAACAAAAGGAGACGATTTCCATCAAGGAACAAATTCAACTTTTGAGAAATGAACACTTTGAGCCACAAAAAACCCCAGTATTCCCTTCAAAACCTACCTTCTTCCCTATGTCTCCACAAGCATATTCCCCGCCTAAATTGGACTACACCTTTTCTACCTTTCCATCTACCTCACAAAATCCAATCTCTTTCACCCAACCAGCAAAAGAAGAACATGATTTTGATATCGCAAAAATGGTTTGGGAAAGGAAAGATGCCCTTGCAGCACAGAAACAAACCAAGAAAAGGCGAGACCAAGGAGAAAGTTCAAAAGGATCGAACCCCGAAAATCTAATGATTTCTAACCAAAAGGCTCCAGGCCTCTATATCTCCCAGTCAAGATACATATCAGAAGAAGATACTCCATGGTCGGAATCTCTAAATTCATCAGAAGATGAAACAATGGAAGATAGCTCTCAATCAAGCAATGAATCCACAGCGAACTCTGTCGATGAAGACGATCCCCCAATATTTGTAAACCAGCCAAGAGACCTAGAAATATCTGAAGTAGATGAGGAACAAGAAGGCATGACAGATGACCAATCCCAGAAAGAAAATATGAGCCCATGGCGTCAAAACTAGTTGGAACTGGTTTCCACACTTTCACTTTAGATGACGTCAAGGTTTCAAAATGGCCTCAAAGGATCCAAGACTTCTATACTTGGATGGTGACAAAAAATTTGGTGGAACGAGAAAAGTATATCATCCTTTCAGAATTCACTTCACGGTTCTCAGGAATTCTCAGAGATTGGTGGAACTCACTTGAAATCCAAGACAAAAATACTTTTCTTACTTCCCAAGATTTTGCCTTCAACATCAGGATCCTACATGAAGTTTTCTGCGGAGATACTGGCCAAAGACAGGAGAAAATGCGAAGACAACTCTTTGAGATGAAGTGTGTGTCATTCGACAGAAATGACATTGATAGACATTTTCAAAAAATGGCGAAGATATACTTCGAGATCGGTGGAGACATCAATCTAAAGCAAGCCTTTGTATCTTCTCCCTTCCAAAGTTGCTAGCAAGTCGAACCATGACCATCATTGAAGAAAAGTTTCAGTCCATAACAATCCCACAACTTGGCTACATCAGGCAAACTATTTTCGTAGCATTGGATGATATTTGTACGAAGCGCTCTGCCCTAAAACAAATTATCCAACACAATCCAGCGCTTGACAAAGCATGCCGCAAATCTGATCTAATCACCGGATCAGGATGTTCCTGCCACACATCTAGGCGACGGAGAGAATTCAGGAGGTTTAAATGGCCAAGAATTTCATACGGGAAATCAAGGTCCAAGAGACGCACAAAATATTTCAGATGAAGAAGGCCAGGAAATTTTCACAAGAAAAACAAACGTTTTATTTGTCATAAGATTGGACATTTTGCTAAGAATTGTCCACAATCAAGAAGATCTGTCAAACTGATTGAAGAAATTGAAGATTACACCGGCATACATCTCGGAAAGGAAGAGGACCTTGAATCCATATTCTCTGTGGATGATGAACCCAATGAAGAAACTTTATTCTCTCTTGATATCTATGAAGATCAAGGCAATGATCATTACCAAATTTCAGAACCAATGATCGAAGCCGGAGAGGAGATCAATGCGCTCGCAGTCGTTCCTCAAGTAGAACTCAAAGTTTATTCATCCAAGTGGGATAAACCAACTCGAGTTATTGCTTTCATCGACACCGGAGCTGCTTCCTCACTTATAAATCCTGTTGTTCTCCCTGAAGATCAATGGGTACCGCATTTTAAGGATTTCAACACTACATCAAATGCAATTTTGACCACAACTGTCATTACAAAGCACCCGATCACAATTGAGTTCTTTCCAGTATTGAAGTACAAAACCAAGCTGCTAGGATCTGATGTACCAGAAAAGGATCTTATTATTGGATTTGACATTTACAGACAACTCAGAGATCAACACCAGATCAGGGCTAACGGGATAGCTTTTAAAAAGCAGTTCAGACATTATTCTGAGATTCCAAGGAGGAAAGCAGATAACTGATATGCCCATTCCTCAGCAAGCGAGTTGGATGGTGAAGAAAATATTTAAGGCACGAGAGGCTCTGGGAAATGCTGAACATCAGATATCAGAGAGCAAGAGCAGGATTATGAGTATATATCTGAGTATGATAGGATAATTGCCAAAAGTCACATGGAAGAATTTAATGTGTGGAAATATAGCCAGGCCAAAAGCAATCTTCATTACATGGCTTCACCTTCAGGACAGATTACTTACAACAACAAGACTACAAAGCTGGGGGCTACAGATAGATACAGCATGTCAAATATGCAAGCAAGCAGAGGAGACAAAAGATCATTTATTTGCTGAATGTGAAGTTAGTAGCAGAGTTTGGGGTAAACTAATGAAATGGATCCAAATTGACTGGCCAATAGTGAAGACAGGGGGAGAAATGCAGAAATGGATAGAAGAGAGAACAAAAGGAAAGACAAAACAAGCAAAGATAATGAAAATGATATATACAGAGTTCATCTATGTTATATGGATGGAACGAAATACCAGAGTTATCCTGAAGAAAGAGAAATATAGTGATATTATAGCTAGAGATATAGCCTATATTTGCCATGTTCGGGCTGATGAAGTCCTTCAAAGACTGCTGAATGTTAGATTTCCAAATTAGTCGACAATGTCAGTAGGTAATATGTATAGGTTAGTATCTCTGTGTAATGAAGTGCAGAACGTATGAATAGCAGACTGAGTATGTAGTCTAGGTGCTTTGTAAATATTTTACTTGGTAATTAATGAAATTTGATAGTTACCAAAAAAAAAAAGAAAAATACTTTTCTATAACAGGAAAAAGAAATTACTCATTTTGTAAAAAAAAAAAATACTTTTTTCTACATCATGAAAAGAAAGTATTTTTTTTGTTGAAACAAAAGAAAATACCTTTTCTACAATATGAAAAGAAAGTATTCATTTTGTAAAAAAAAATACTTTTTCTACATCCTGAAAATGTCACGACCCAAATCCCCGCTCTGGTCGTGATGGCGTCTCTCGTGAAGACAAGGCCAACCAACTAACCCATATCGCCTTTTCAAAAATAGATAAACATGAATAAGCGGTCTAAATATGATTTAATAATATTAATTAGCGGAAGTACAACCCAACACAGCCCTAATCGGGGTGTCACAAGTCACGAGCATCTATAAGAGTGTAAATACAACTACAAGGTCTAAAAATACACTGAACAGGAAAAATGAACAACAGAGAGAGAAGCGGTGCTGCGAACGCTGGCAGTCACCTCGCTAAACTCCTATAGCTCTGCCTCCAATCAGCCAAAACCCGCTACCGGGTGAATAAATACCTGCATCTGCACACGAGGTGCAGGGAGTAAAGTGAGTACTCCAACTCAGTGAGTAATAAAGGTAAGTAATAATTGAGCAGTGAGAAATCACGTAAGGCAAATCATCATGCTGTATAGAAGCAATATAAAACCCTTTTGAGAAAAACAGTGAAACTGTGAAATCTTTAGAAAACATCTTAGCTCAGTTCAAACCTCTTTTGAAAATGACTTTTTCAACGGTTATGCGAATAAATGCAAACAATTAGTGCAGATAAGCACAGAAATCCGCCCCTCGGGCACAACACTCACGCAACAGATAATGCCAGGCAATCAGGTAGATACCCCGTGAAGTAACACAGATAACATATAATGGCAGACAATGAAATAAAGTAAACACATAGAACAGTACTAGTTCCGCTGCGGCGTGCAGCCCGATCCACATATCGCTGCGGCGTGCAGCCCGATCCATTTATCGTCGACGGCACTCACTGGGGGTGTGCAGACTCTGGGAGGGGCACCTTACGGCCCAAGCGCAATATCAAGCCATCTCGTGGCATCAAATCTAGGCCCTTTGCCTCATACTAGTATCAGTATACCACTGCTGCGGCGTTCAGCCCGGTCCATATATATATATATATTGCTGCGGCGTGCAGCCCGATCCAAAAGTATCCTTACAATACAGGCCCTCGGCCTAACTCAGTCAACAAAATCACATAAGCCACTCGGGCAACAATCAACATGATGCTCACTCCAAAATATTATTGGAAATATCATTTCAAGTGTTAAAGCAAGTAAACTTGGCTGAGTTTTGAAAAAAGTAAAAAAATGCATGACTGAGTTCAAGTATAAAATCAAAACAGTGAGGAAATATCAACAACCATCCCCGAAGGGGTTCAAATAGCTGGCACGAAACCCAAATATGGCAATCAGCCCAAGTCATGATGATAACAAATAAGTTTTAGTCAATTACACAGTAAAATCATCAATCGGGACGGGCCAAGTCACAATCCCCAAAGGTGCTCTACCCCACGCTTGCTATCCGGCGTGCAAGTCACCTCAATATAGCACTACGATGTGCAATCCGGGGTTTCAAACCCTCAGGATATCATTTACAATCATTACTCACCTCGAACCGGCGATATCTCTAGCTCACGACGCCTTTGCCCCTCAAATCGGCTTCCACGCGCGTCGAATCTATCCAAAACCAGAACTAATACGTCACAATATGCTAAGGGAACAAAGCCCAAGCGAAAACAATCGAAAAATATCAAAAATCCCGAAATTAGCAAAACCCGAGCCCCGGGCCCACTTCTCGAAACTCAAAAATTTTCACATAATTAAATTCCTTATCTCCTCACGAGTTCATACATACCAAAAGTTCTCAAATTCGACCCCAATTGGTCCTTCAAATCCCCAAATCAAATTTCAAAATCCCAAGCCCTAGTTTCTTTCATTTTTGCTTAAGTTCCATGAATTTCTAGGTAGATTACACAATAAAAACGAGTTTTAAGTTCAAAAATCTTACCTCCAGGTAATTCCCCTTGAATCCCTCTTCAATCCTCTTCAAAAAGCTTCAAAATCGACCAACAATGGAGGAACTTAGCCTTAAATTCGCTGAAATGGGTTTTAAAACATTCTGCCCAGCACTCAAATTTACTTAATCGCGATCGCGGAAAAGCCCTCGCGATTGCGAAGCACAGCCCACAATTACACTACGCGATCGCCTACTCCCTCACGCGAACGCAATGCTCAGAATCTCCCAACTACGCGATCGCAAATGATGACACGCGACCGCGATTGACAACAACGCAAAACTACGCGATCGCGACCTGATCTATGCGAACGCAAACAGAAAACCTGGATGCCCCTGAAATAACTCTACGCGATCGCAAGCCTCCTTACGCGATCGCGAAGAGGAAACATCTGCAACAGAGCTGGAGCCAAAACCTGCAATTTTTCCAACATGAAATGGTCCGATTGACCACCCGAAACTCACCCGAGGCCCTCGGGACCTCAACCAAACATACCAACATAATCCATAACATCATTCAAACCCGTTCCAATCATTAAAACACCTCAAACAACATCACTCAAAACACATCGGATCAAGCCTAAGTTGTCCAAAAACTTCCGAAATACGCTTTCGATCAAAAACCCAACCAAACCACGTCCGAATGACCTGAAATTTTGCACACACATCCCAAATGACATAACGAAGCTACTGCAACTCTCGGAATTTCATTCCGACCTCTATATCAAAATCTCACCTACCAACCGGAAATCGCAAAAATCTTAACTTCGCCAATTCAAGCCTAAACTTTCCACGGACTTCCAAAATGCGTTCCGATCGCGCTCCTAAGTCACAAGTCACCAAACGAAGCTAACCAAATCATAAAAATTCCGATCCGAGCTCATATACAAATAAGTCAACTCTTGGTCAAACCTTCCAAATTCAAAGCTTTCAATTGAGACTGTTCTTTCAAATTCATTCCAAATTTTCTTGAAAACCATCCAATGATTTACATCAGTCATAATACATAACACGGGACAAGTCATGCCCGAGAACTGGCGATCAAGGTCCAAAAGCTCAAAACGACCGGTCGGGTCGTTACATGAAAGAAATTATTTATTTTATTGGAATGAAAGAAAATACTTTTTCAACATCACAAAAAGAAAATATTCATTTTGTTGAAATATAAAAAGAATACACTTTCTAAAACATTAAAAGAAAATACTCTAAATAAGATAACGAATTATCAAATAAGATCAAGAATTATCAAATAAAATTTTAAATTTAATATATATATATATATATATATATATATATATATATATATATATATATATATATATATATATATATATATATATATATATNTATATATATGCTTGAAGTTGAGAATATTGTAAAGATTTGAGCCAGTTTAGATGGGTTGGGTTACAAATAGGAGTGGCAAACGGGCGGGTCGGATCGGATATGGTTCGAGTAAAAAACGGGTAATAAAAAAACGGATAAAATTATCGTACCCGACCCATATTTAATACGGATAAAAAATGAGTTAACCGAGGGTAACCATATTATCCATGACCTCTTGCATATGATCACCTTTGGGAGAAATTTTACTTTCTCTAACTTAAGTAACCCCCAATTTCAGGCTTTGCAAATATAAAAGTTAGACCATTAGTTATTCATTTTCTAAATACATAATATGATTCTTATCTATATTTTACGAATTTTTAAAAATTAATTTTCTAACCTATTTTTTAATATATAATATAAGCGATTAATTGTTTTCTTTTAAACATATTGCCACCCAGATACAAATCATTATTTAGCCGTCTTGAGCCCGTGCATGTTGATCAGCCCAAATACATTCCAAACATCCTATTTGCAGCCTCTCCTGGTTCACCGCCACCGCCGAAAGTCCTGCCTCCTGCCTTCTGCATCCATTCCGTATTCAGACGTACTTCGAGGTTTCTTCTTCTCCTTTTCTGCCTTTTTTCCCCCTTTCATTTCGTGCTGTTTATGGCTATGAGTCGTCTAACTTCTGTTGTTATGGTTTTTCAATTGGAGAGTGATTAATGAAGACTTACCGTGATTTGTTATTTGTTAAAAAGTTGTTGAGTTATACACGAGAAAAATTTTGTCCTTTAAATGGTACAATTCGTCTTTCTTATCTTAAGTGACTTTACATTGGATTGTTTTTTTTTTCTCAAATAAAAAAGTAACTTTACATTGGATTGTTTTTTTTTCTCAAATAAAAAAGGTGACTTTACATTGGATTGTAAATGACTTTGAATGAGCTATTTGATAATCATAGATGGCTTAGATAAAGTATGAGAGTTACAAACAACTACAACAACAACTCAGTGAGATCCCACAACTGAGGTGATCTTACCCCTAGTTCGGAGGAACAGAAAGGCTGCTTCCGGTAGACCCTCGGCACAAGATGGAAAGAGACAGTATATCAGTAACAGCAAAGGAATCAAGAAAGATAACACCAACAACGTAATAACTAGAAAATAGAGAGAAAAGTAATAACACTAAGCAGTAACAAAGGCACAATACTACAGGCGCAAGGGAATAATATGGACACAACAAGGGTCACTAAACATACTGCAACCTAACTTACGGCCCTAATGAAGTATTAAGAACACAACTGGAGCCACTAGCAGCTTAAAACAAAACACTATCATACTAGCCTCATATCTCCGACCCTACGACCCTAATGCTCGACCTCCACAACTTCCTATCAAAGGCCATGTCCTCGAAATCTGTAGCCACACAATGTCCTGCCTGATCACCTCTCCCCTATATTTTTAGGCCGCCCTCTACC